ATGCACACAGATTTGTCTTAAAACTATTTCCAATTGTGTGTGCATGTGTGTGTGTGTGCATGTATGTGTGCATGTGTGTGTGTGTGTGTGTGTATGTGTTCTATGTCCAGGTACAGGTGTGTATACATACATGCACACAGACGAAAACCTCAAATGTTAAATGTTATTCCTCAGACACTGTTTATCATCTAGTTTTTGGGACAGGTTCTCTCACTGCCTCAGAACTGGCCACGTGGGCTGGACTGGCTGGCCATCTAGCCCCTGAAATCTGCCTATCTCTGCCTCCTTAGCACTGGGATTACAAGCGCATTGACACCATACCCAGCTTTTTTTATTATTATTATTTTGTGGGAACTCTAGAGATGTGGAGGTCCTCATGTTTGCAAAGCAAAGAGTTCACTTTCCACAGACACTGAGAAATTGTTTGTGCTGGTCCCGGAAAGAGCTTGATGTGGAGCCTGGGAAATCAATATCTCTTCCAAATAGGAATTTGAGTAGCAAACTAAAACCCAAATCTGTTCTCTCTTACATCCTTTCTCTCGTGCCTCTCTCCTTCTTTCTCTTGTTCTGCTTCTTTGTGCTTCTCTGCTACCTCCTCTTCTTCCTCTCCTTCAGATAAATAGAGAAACAAAGTGTGGTTAAAATGCTAACTGCCTAATTATCTTCCAGGTGAAGGTTCTGAATGTGATAACAAGAAACCCTCTGCACCATCTTTATTAAGCATTATGTGAATAACAAGTCAAAGGTGTGTGTGTGCGGGGGAGTTTGGGGTGGAGTGGTGGCTCACTGTAAAGACAGCCTCCTACTTTTCCAGAATTTGGGTCCCTGGCAGTAACATTAACAGCTCACAACTGCCTCTAATGCCAGCTTCCGGGGATCAGACGCCCTCTTCTGGCCTCCGCGAGCACCTACATGCACATGGCATACATTCGCACAAAAAGAAAAAATAAAAGTAACAAATTTCTTAAAAGCCTGGTGATTCTGTTTATGTTGATGCCAGACATAGGCCTTGTTTTTGCTGTTGTTTTTAGCATGAACACTTTATTCTGAGCCAAAGTTTAGGGTGTGCAGACCATCCTACACCTAGAAAGATTGATATGTGAGTAAGGACACCCCCATTTTGTCACAATTGTGGTCCTTTAATTACCTCCTCTCTTATTGCAAACATGCTCAGCTCGTGTGTGTGTGTGTGTGTGTGTGTGTGTGTGTGTGTGTGTGTGTGTTTCTGAGAGGCGTGAAGAGAATTCTCAAGGGCCCTCTCGTCTTTAACGTCTGCATAATTCTTCCATCAGTTGTTTGGTTTTAAAGAACATTTCTTCAACCACATTTTATACATGGTTATGACCTTATACCTGGATTGCAAGGCTTCAAGACTTGAATTTATAAACAGGGTGGTGTCTGAGGGTTTTTTTTTTTTTTTTTTTTTTTTTTGCTTTGCTTTGTCTCTACAGAAAAGAACATGTAGGTTATTATTTGGGGGAAATGTTCTACCGTCATTTATTTTATCACTTGCTTATTTTGGCTCTGTCATATTTCTCCCACATCACTGAGCCTAATTGCTAATTATCTTTCCCTTATATTTCTTAGGATTAATTTAAAACAAGGTTGATATCTCATTTGCTTTGACTTGGTGCACTTTATTTTGTACAGCAAATATTTAGTCCATTGGTAAATATTATATGCAATATAAATCAAATCGTCGTTACAAACTGGGACAATGCACAAGTCCATTGTCTCAAGAAGATTGCTTGGGATTATTTATTCTTCAGTCTTTGTGAAGGGGTGCTATTCATCCCTCTCGAAGTCATCAACAATGAGATTTTAAGATATTCTTAAATAGCCTGGATTTTTGGTAAACATTTCTACTTCTCATCTTGAAATGAAAATATCTTGCTTTTAATCTGGAAATAATCTTAATCAATTCCTCCAATTAAAAGGTCATTTCACCAAATTGCTTTGTCTTGTACGCTCTAATTTATTTCAATTTTTTTCATCCGTTATTAAAAGTAATTTAATGCAAGCACAAGGAAATGTAAGTTGTTTTAACCAATTATTTTGTGATCAATAGCACCAGCAGGGTAGACACAGTACAGGAGTTGTTCACTTTAATAAGTGAAGCAATCCATTGAATTATAATATACCAAAGCCAACAAATGAAAGGTGTATTGAAAGCTGACAAAAATAGGAAAAACAAGAAAAACACACAGAATAAGGATGCTATTTGACGAGCTCCCGCTATTGAGCATGCTCATGTGAACACCATACATATATAGAGCAGTGTCAGCCCTCTCTCCTCCCAGCCAGGTGCCGCCAACTCCTACCTACCCTGACTACAATAAGCATTTTCTTGATTCCTAAAATTACATATTGGCTCATCTGTTGCTGATTTTGCTTAATGTATGGTTTTCCCTGGAAAGGTGAAATCTTCAGGCAATTTGATTTAGAGCCATTTAGGTGACTGGTGAGACACCTCGGGCTGTATCTGTAAAGAGAGTTGTGGGGAGGATTAATTCGCAGGGCAAGACGCACTCTGAATGCAGGTTGTAAGGCACTGCAAGCTTGGACCTCACACAATATAGAAGGGAAAGCCAACTGAATACCAGCGATACCGTTTTCTCTGCTTCCAGCCTGCATAACAACACAGGACATCCCGTCTCCACCATACACTCCCATGACCACAGCATGTTGGTCAAACACTGGGGCTGACCCTGGGGCCCTTTCTCTCTTGTTTCCATCATGAATATTGGCCATGGTGATCAAACAGTGACTAAAACACCTGGTACTTTGTTGCTGTTCTGTTTCATCTGGAGATTGATCCCAGTACCTTGAGCATGTTAGGTAAACACTCTACCACTGAGCTGTATCCTCAGTCCCTTCCTCTGTCTTCTTTAACTCACTATTATCTTTGGTATGTCAGTTCCTATTGTTGGCTACAGTAGTTTACTCACCATCATTATTTTAGGATATGACTATAGTTTTAAATTTTTAGCATTTATCTATTCTACATGTGTGGGTATGATGTGTGGGTATGTATGTAGATATAGGTGCCGCAGAACACATGTGGAAGTAAGATTTTAACTTGCAGGAGCTGGTTCTCTTCTACCACCTTACGAATCCCAGAGACCAACTCAGGTCATCAAGCTTGGTGGCAAGAATCTTCACCTATTGAAACATCTTGGGAGACATTGGGTGACTTCTCTTGGAAAATATTAAATTTTCCACTGCTTTGAGCACTCAGTTGGTTCTATACCTAGCAATGAAACTGTTAGGCTAGAGAGTGCACACACACACCACATAGTCTCCAAAATGGTCGTACCCATTTATGCTCCTACACACATGTGTTAGTTACTTTCAATTGCTTTGGTAAAACACCAGGACCAAGGCAACATACAGAATGGCAGTTCTCAATATGCAGGTCACGACCCCTTTGGGGTCACATATAAGATATCCTGCATATCAGATATTTACAATTCATAACAGTATCAAAATTACAGTTATGAGGTAGCAACAACAATAATGCTATGGCTGGGGTCACCACAACATGAGGAACTATATTAAAGGGTAGCAGCATTAGGAAGGCTGAGAACCACTGATAGAGAAGAAGGAGTTTATTTTGGCTTATGGTTGCAGAGTGTTAAAGTTCATGAAGGATGAGCAAAGACATAGTAGCAGAAGCAAGAGTCTAAGGGCAAGCATGAAGCTGAGAGGGAGGACTGACAATGGTGGGGTTCTTTAAAATCTCAAAGCCCACACCTAGTGACACACTTCTTCCATCAAGGTCATACAACACCTCCCAGGCTTCCACAAGCAGTGCTACTAACCGGGGACCAAGCTTCCAAATGTTCAAGACTATGGAGGACATCTTGTTCAAACCACCTCAGCGTTGTAGATGATGCAATAAAGTAGTCTAACACTAGCTCAAAATTGAATATAATAAAGGGTTCTTTATTTAGGGGTAGGTAGACTCACAGATCAACAGTTCTCGGCCCAAGCAGGGAACAGGAACCAAATCCAGCAGTTTAATGAGAGAGAGCAGGTGAGTAACTGTGCAAGCTCACATCTGCATTTATAGTACAAGAGATATCACCCAAGTGGGCTGGTATCTGAAAGGCTATTGGCTGAAGGAGTTCCCATAGCACACCACAGTACCAATTTCCTAGTCAGAGTTAAAATGGTTGGTATTTTGTCCTTTAGGTACTCTAGTATATACAGCAAGATTCAATCTTATTTCTTTCTTTAAAACATTTACGAGAAAGCTCAACTGGTGTTGCAAAGAAATAAAATGTTTGATATGATAATGCAAAGAACATTTCAGTGAATAGCAAACAAAGAGAGGTTTAAATGTTGAAGTATCTATGACTATACTCCAGGACATCTTAGCAAATAAAATATGGACAAAAAGCCTAGCACACAAGAGGCCCTTGATTCCATCCCCAGCACTATATATATCAGGCAGGGTAGTGTATGCCTGTAAACCCCACACTTGGGAGATGGAGAGAGAAGGATCCTAAATTCAAAGTCATCCTAGACTATATATTAAAAAAAAGTTAGAGACTAGCCTAGGATACATGAGAGCCTGGATTTGGGGGGAAGGTGCACCCTGTGTCATGGTCACCCCCTAAGTCCCCTCATGTATACATTTCTAATGGGCCTTCTCATTTAAGAGTGAAAAGAGTCCTTATGAGATGGTTAGTTTTAGGTGTCAACTTGAAGTAAAAGATATGGCTTAAGTATTAACCAGATGCTGGTTAAATGTTATTTCTGCGTATACAATAAGAATGTTTCTGAAAGAAATTCACATTGGAGCCATAGACTAAGAAGAGTGCTCTCATCATCGTGAGTGGGCATCATTCAGTGTATGTGTTGTTCTGTCCTCTGAAGCTGAGCCATCATCTCCTCCTGCCACCCAACATCAGCAACATTGGTACTCAGACCTTTAGATTAGGATTGGAGCTTTATGCTTTATTACAGCTGCCCTGGGTACCAGCTTGCAAATGGCATATCACAGCACTACCCAGCCTCCTCAGTGTGTTTTCTCTCTCTCCGTGTGTGTGTGTGTATGTGTGTGTGTGTGTGTGTGTGTGTGTGTAAGAGAGCACTGAATCGCTGGAGCTGGAATTATAAGTAGGTGATTGTGAACAGCCTGATATGGGTACTGGGAACCAATCTTGGGTCCAGTAAGCCATCTTTCCAGCCCATGTGCACTAGTTTGCTTCCTATTGCTGAATAAAACCTATGACTTAAAGCATCTTGGGAAGGGAAGGGCTTATTTCAGCTTACACTTTATCATCTATCACCAAAGGAAACCAGGGAAGGAGTTCAAGGAAGGAACAGGAGAAGAGGGACCAAGGAGCAGTGCTGTTTGCTGACTTTCATCCATGGCTTACAAAGCTTGCTTCTTTATACACCCCAGGGCCACCTTCCTAGGGGTGGCACCACCCACGGTGGGCTAAACCCTCCCACATCATTCATTAACCAAGCAAATGCCCCCAGATTCTTGCCTGCAGGCCAACTTGATGAAAATATTTTTTCAGTTAAGGTTCCCTCTTCCAAGATGACTCTAACTTGTGTCAAGCTGATAAAAAAGTAACCAGTACCCCAAAGCATATATTTAAAAACAAAATCTTTATTCTTTGAGAAGCAAATAAACACTGTAAACAAGTGGCCTTATAATTAAAAGCCCAGAATGACAAAGGTGATTGACAAGAACAGAAGCAGCCATTTCTGTTACACTCAGAGTTAGTCCTCCAGCGGGAGGAGGACTGACCATGGTAATAACAGGACTTTCTCACAGCTCAAAGGCCCAGAAAATATTTTCAACAAAATCATAGAAGAAAATATTCCTAACCTAAAGAAGGAGACACCTATAAAGATGCAAGAAGCTTACAGAACACCAAATAGATTGAACTAGAAAAGAAATTCCCTTTACCACATAACAATCAAAATACTAAACATAAAGAACAAATAAAAATATTAAAAGCATCAAGGGGAAAAGAGCAAATACATATAAAGGCAGACTTATTAGAATCACACCCATCTTCTCAACAGGAACTCTGCACGCCAGATGTGGACAGATGTGCTGCAGACTCTAAGAGATTCCAATCCAGACTACTATACCCAGCAAAATTCTCAACCACCATAGATGGAGAAAATAAGTTATTCTATGATAAAGTAAAATTTGAACAATATCTCTCTAAAAATCCAGTCCAACAGGAGGTACTAGAAGGAAAGTTACCACCCAAATGGGTTAACTATATCCATGAAAAGATAGTAAATAAATAATCCCACACCAGCAAAACTAAAAGAAGAAAAACACACACATACATACACAGGCACTCACAATAGCAACAACAACAAAATAGCAGGAATCAACAATCACTGGTCATTGATATCTCTCAGTGTAAATGGACTCAAAGCCCTAATAAAAAAGCAAAGATTAGCAGAATGAATGAGAAAACAGCATGCATCCTTCTGTTACATTAAATAAGCACACCTCAAAAACAAGGATAGACATTACCTTAGGGTTAAAGGTTGGAAAAAGATACTCCAAGAAAATAAATTTAATAAGCAAGCTTGTATAACCATTTTAATATCTAACAAAATAGACTCCTAATCAAAACTAATTAAAGGAAGAAAGATACTACATCCACTAAGATGATATTTGAATTCTTAACATCTATTCCCCAAATGCAAAAGCACCCAAGTTTGCAAGAAGAAAACTACTAGCCAGGTGATGATGGTGCACACCTTTAATCCTAGAACTCAGGGAGGCAGAGGCAGGTAGATCTCTGTGAGTTCAAGGCCAACCTGGGCTACTCTATAGAGTGAGTTCCAGAGATATACAGAGAAACCCTGTCTCAGAAAGCAGGGGGAAAACTTACTATAGCTTAAATCACATATTGACCCTCACGCACTGATAGTGGGAGATTTCAATACCCCATTCTCACCAACTGACAAGTCATCCAGTCAGAAACTAAATAGAGAAACACTGGAGCTAGATGTTACAAACTAAATAGACCAAAAAGATATTCACATTACATTTCACTCAAACACACACACACACACACACACACACACACACAAATACCTTTTTCTCAGCACCTCATGAAACTTTCTCCAAAATTGTCCACATATTCATATACAAAGCAAGTCTCAACATATGTAAGAAAATTGAAATAATTCCCTGCATCCTATCAGGCCTCCATGGTTGAAAGCTGGCTATCAACACCCACAGCAACAATAGAAAGCTTACAAACTCATGGGAATGGAACACGTCTCTACTGAATAAAAAACAATGGATCAAGATAGAAATAAGAAAAGAAATGAAAGACTTCCTAGGATTCAGTTAAAATGGGTATACAACATACCCAAACTCATGGGGCACAATGAAAGCGGTGCTAAAAGGGAAGTTTATGGCACTAAGTGCCTACAAATAATGGAGAGATCTCATGCTAGCAATTTATCAGCACACCTGATAGCTCTAAAACAGGGGTCCTCAACCTTCCTAACCCTGCAACCCTTTAATCCAGTTCCTCACACTGTGATGACCCCAACCATAAAGCTTTTTCATTGCCACTTCAAAACAGTAATTTTGCAACTATTACGAATCATAATGTAAATATCTGTGTTTTCCAATGGTCTTAAGTGACCCCTGTGAAAGGGTCCTTTGACCCCCAAGGGTCACAACTGATTGGTTGAGAAACATTACTCTAGAACAAAAGAAAATAAGTACACCCAGGAGGCATAAAAGGCAGGAAATGATAAAAAGTGAAGGCTGGAATCAATAAAATAAGAACAAAGAGAACAAAACAAATAACCAATGAAGCAAAGAGTTGGTTCTTTGAGAAACTCAACAAGACAGACAAACCCTTATCCAAATTAACTACAAGACAGAGAGAGAATACCAAAATTAACAAAATCAGAATCAAAAGGCAGACATAACAACAGACACCAACGAGAATCATAAGGACATACTTTAAAAACTTCTATTCAACAAAATTGGAAAATCTAAAAAAATGGGTAATTTTTTCATTAGGTACCACTTCAAAGTTAAATCAAAATCAGATAAACAATTTAAATAGACCTATAACCCCTAGTGAAATAGAACCAGTCATTAAAATCTCCCAACCAAATAAAAAGCCCAGGAACAGACAGTTTTAGCAAGAATTCTACCAGACTTTGAAAGAAGAGTTAATACCAATACTCCTTAAATTGTTCCACAAAATTGAAACAGAAGGAACGTTGTTAAATTCATTTTATGAGGCCACAATTACCCTGATACCCAAACCACATAAAAACTCAAGAAAGAGAATTACAAAACAATTTCCCTTATAGACATAGATGGGAAAATACTCAATAAAATAGAATACATGCAAACCAATTTCAAGAACACATCAAAAATATCATCCAACATGACCAAGTAGGCTTCATCATAGAGATTCAGGGATGGCTCAATATATAAAAATCAGTCTATTGCAATCAACCACATAGATAAACTGAAAGAAAAACATCCCATATGATCATCTTATTTGATGTAGAAAAGGCTTTGGACAAAATCCAACACCCCTTCATGATAAAGTCTTAGAGAGATCAGGGGTACAAGGGACATACCTAAACATAATAAAGAAAATTTGTAGAAGCCTACTACCTCAAATTAAATGGAGAGAAACTCAAAGCAATTCCTCTAAAATCAGTAATAAGACAAGGCTGTCCACTCTCTTCCTTACCTGTTCTATAGTACTTGAAGTTTTAGTTAGAGCAATAAGACAACTATCGAAGACCAAGGGGCTACAATATGAAAAGATAAAGTCAACATATCATTATTTGCAGATGATATGAAGTTATATCTATTCAATATAATACTTGAAGTTTTAGCTAGAGCTATAAGATAATTTAAGGAGATCAAGGGGATGCAATATGAAAGGAAAGGGTCGAAGTATCTTTATTTGGAGATTGCCCACTGACTCAACTAAGTAGGACACATACGGGCTCATGGAGAACAAAGTGGCCAGTACAGGCCCTACATATGAAGGCGTTTTTTGCCTTTTGCTTTGTCATGGTGGGTTGTTGTCTCTTGGAAGTCTGCCCTTTTCTTATGGGAGGCAGAAGGGGAGTGTATCCAGAGGGAAGGAGGACGTGTGGGGGATAACAAGGAGGAGTGGAGGGAGGGGAAACTGGGTCAGGATGTATCATGTTAGAGAAGAATCTATTTTCAATAATCAGAATTGTTATTAATAAATTCCACAAAAAGAACAGAATTCTTCAATATAGTACCTCTCCTCAGCACTCAGATTGTTTTTCAAATCACATTGTACTGGACTGGGTTAATCCCAACATAAAATAAATACTTATATGCCCCAAAGTTTCCAACTAGGAAGGCAAAGAAGCTCAGATATCAACACCCAGCATGAGCAGCGATGTGGGTGAATACAAAATTGTTGGAATCAAATTTCCCCAGCTTTCAACTTGTCTCTATTTTTCTAAAGGACTAAATATGTCCCAGATAGTTGGGAACCTGTTGTTAGACAATGCAACTGAATTATTAATACTCACAAAGAGAAAGCCATGGGAAGAAAGAGAGAGGCTAGCATACTCTTGGCTGTGGGGAAGGTACTTGCAAACTGCTAAGCTTCATAAAAGCAAAGGAATAGAACGTGAACCATAAATCCTTAAATGTGTGGCTCTCATCCACTACCTTCAAGGCAGGAGCTATGTTTTACATAACAAATGATTTCTCCATTCATCTTACTATAGCAGTTTGCATGGCAAAGACTGCACGGAGAAAAATGGATGCCTTCTGCTCCCCCAACTCCTCAACCCCAATGGTACACACCCACACGCAAAATGAGCCTTCCATTTGTGTTTCTCAAATAGCAGGCAATTTGCATGCATTGTTAAAAATGTATGGTTATTATTTTTAATTGCGTGTAGGTGTGTGTTTATATATCTACATGTCAGTATGTGCACATGAGTGCATGTATCTACATGAGGGTATGTGCACCTGAGTATATGTATCTACATAAGACTATGTGCATATGAGGGTATGTGTACCTGAGTGGGTGTATCTACATAAGAGTATGTGCACATGAGGGTATGTGCACCTGAGTGTGTGTATCTACATAAGAGTATGTGCACATGAGTGTACGTATCTACATGTGGGAATGTGCACATGAGTGCAATTGCTTGCAGCTGCAGAAGCTAAAGGCATCAGATTCCCTGAAGCTACCTGATACGGGTTCTGGAAACAGAACTTGGGTCCTCTACAGGAGCAGCATGCACTCTTAAACACTGAGCCATCTCACCAGAACTGAATGTGCTTTGGGCTGATCTGTTGCTCTGAACATCTTTGGTCCAAGGAAAGTTCCTTACTTCCTTCATCCTTGCTCACTACACAGGAAAAAAAAAAGAAAATTAATAAAAGCCATGGCTCAGAAATTGCTAAGCTGGAAAAATTCTTCCCTGGCCACGAGTACATTACCATCAAATCATCGCCCAGCATGGTTGATGCATGCATGGGTGCAACAAGTCATGCACCCACCATGCCTCTGTCTGCTTTTTCTCTAAACCTTACACTGACCCAAAGAAGCTCTTTTTTTTAAATTGGATAATGAGTATTTATTTATTTTTTTATGAGAAAGTAATTTTATTAAATTATAAAAGTTTCCATTTCCGCCCCTCCTCCCAACACCCTCCCACTCCCCCCACTCCCTCTCCTCCTCCCTCTCCATCCCTAAGAGCAGTCAGGGTTTCCTGCCCTGTGGGAAGTTCAAGCTCCTCCCCCCTCCCTCTAGGTCCAGGAAGGTGAGTATCCGAAGACACTGGGACTTGTTTCCTCTGCATATACTGGATTTTGGGGATCCAGTCTGTTAGGATGCTCACCAAAGAAGCTCTTATCCTTCCCACTTAGGAGCACCACATAGTGACACTGGAAATGGGTGTGTCTTTCTGAGCTAGGCAGCCAGGGCATAGTTTCCCCAATTAAAAAGCATCCTTCTGTAAGTCTCCTGGCTACGAAGAGATAAGAGCCGCTAGGACTGGAGTACAGGTCTCCAATCTTCTGGAAGACACTCCTGGAATTCAGCTGAGGTCAGCAGAAGAGGCACTGGAGTATCTAGACAGGACTGGGTTAAACATTTGAAATATTTGACTCTCCATGGCCTTTTGGATTTAGGAGGAATCCAAGCTCCACAGAGAGACACTTGATGTGGGAGACAGAGCTATGCTCGGTTAACAGGCGATGGATAGCATCCACTCTTGCTGGGAGGGGAAACAGAAAAGATTTGCTAGGAGAAGAGTCTTAGATCTGGTAAGGGGTCTACAATGATGTCTGTCCCACCAACGATACTCTTTCTGGCCTCGTAGCATCTCTATCTTGCTTGTCGAATACAATAGATACCTGATTACTAGATCCAGATCCCTCCGGTGACAAGTGAGCACCCTAACTAGCATTCAGGGCGGTTCTCTTGAGAGTCTCTTCAAACAACATTGGATTGCCATCCACCTGCTGCCACATAAAATGTGCTCCTTTCTGCACAACATTTACCCGTAGTCCCCTCCCCCTCCCCCGGCCCTGTGGTCCAACTGTAGCCTTGTTTCATTTAGGAAGCAACTGTCTACATAACAAATATTTGCTTTTCTATAATTCCTTCCCCTCCTGCACTGCCTCAGATTTGTTCAGATGTTATCTCAAAATGGCCTCTGCTGCCTAAGAGTACCTTATCTCCCTACAAGGATTTAAAAAAAAAAAATCTCAAAATGTACTAAATGCAGGATTCTTACTGGTAGTTCAAAAAGCAGAAGGCTGCTGAGCTCAATGAATCCCTGACCCCTAACTCTTGCGATGAACTGTTCTCTGGCCAGCACTGTAAACACCCGGCTTCGATGAGACTACATTTCTCCTTGTCCCAGGAATCTACACTAAGAAGCAGCCCTCTGAGGTGGTGATGGGAAGAAGCATTTGAAAGGGGAGTGCCTTAAAAGCCCATGGCTGAACTTCACCTCCCAGATTTCCCACACACTGGTTGGTGGTCTCTAGAAAGTCTTTGCTAAGATGTAATCACATTCCCATATATGCGGCAACAAATCACCTCCAAACTTGGCAACTTAGCAGAAATTTGTTCTGCAGTGGTTCAACAGTTCAAAAACAAAAGCAAGGTATCACAGGGCAACACGGCATCCAGTCTGCAGGAGGGTCCACTCCTTACCTTTTCCCCGCTTTGGATGGCTGATGATAGATTTTGGTTTATGGCTGCATCACTCTAATCTCTGTCTCCATGGTAACCTGCTTGTTCCTCCTTTCTCTGTCAAATCTCTCTTAGGTATCTTTTGTAAGGAACCTTGTCATTAGGTTTAAAGGCCACCCACGCAGTCCAGGCTGGTCACTATCTAATGGACCTTCACTAAGTTACATCTGCAAAGATCTTCCTTCCAAACAGTCATATTCACAAGATTCTACAATTAAAATCTGAACCTTTTTGCAGGCCACCGCTCAACCTGCGAAGCAGGGATTTCCTAGAGCTAAGGTGAATTCAATTCCCATAAATGCTGCAACAGATCACCCCCCAAACTTGGTAACTTAATAGAAGTTTATTCTCCAGTGATTCTACAGTTCAAACATTCAAAATCACAGTATCATAATTCCCTGAACTTTTTCTCTAAAATGGTGGTTACAAGGCAAGCTCGTCACGGAGCTGAAGAATGGCAAACTATAAAGCCACCTGCTGCTCCTGCAGTATTGCCCGAAGTGTGTAGCAGGAGCGCAGATAAGTGGTTTGGGGGAAAGAAGTAAACTAAGCCTGCCCTCCAAGATATTTAACCCAATAGGAAAAGTCAACATGTACACAGTATAGGAGAGCTGACTAGCAACGAGAGAAGTGTTTTGCTGGCAAGAACAGAGCTGAAGACCCTTCATTCCCTTCCCTTCTGTTTCTTTCTCCCACTTTCTTATTAACCTGTATTCAAACATCTGATATGTACCATAACTAGCCTATTAGCTCATGTTTATACTCATCTCTTTTATGAACAGTAAAAGGGACTAGATACCCTTTGCTAACTGTGACCTTAGTGGAGTATCATGTGTTCCATATTAAAAATACAGATTGTATAAAATACTTGATAAATGGTAAAAAGACTCCCAAAAGAAATCAAAAGGTATAGGAGTGATAGTATTGTATCAAGTTCATGTTCTTTAATAGTGTGAGTCTGTGGGTAATTCCCTGTAAAGGAGATTACATTGGTTGGGTATGGTGGTGAACATCTGTAAGCCCAGCAATGAGGAAGAAGGATCACGAGTTCAAGGCAGCCTCGGCTACATAGCATAACAGTCTCTCAACAAAACAGAAGGGGATCTGGGAGGTAGTCCAGGTTAGGTAGTGTCTTCCCGACTTTCATGAAGACCCTGCCCTTGATTGCCAGCAGTGACACAAGTCAAGAGGACACACACAGAGATACGGACGTATACAACACACCATAAACAGGTACAAACTACTTTATATAACGTATAGCATGTACCCTTTGTAGATCTCTGGTTACCTTTGCTGCATGTGAGACTGGACATAATCTACCACCAACAATTGTAACGATTTTGCTTCTGCTTCATGGGAGCCTTCACATCTCCATTTCTCTGTCTCTCTCCATGAGTTTTTGCCTTTATCCAGGCAGAAATAACATTAAATCACTTTCCCATAAAGGCTTAACTTCTGCCGCCAGCTCAGGGTCAGCAGTCAGGGATAAGATGGGAAAACGTACTGATTAATAGGGCTTTAAAGACCGGTTCAGGGGCTGGAGAGATGGCTTAGTGGTTAAGAGTACTTGCTCTTGCAGAGGACCTGGGCTCAGGCCCCAGAATCCTTATGTTGGCTCACACCCATCTGTAATTCCAGTTCCTGGAGATCCAGACCCTCCTTCTGAACCAGGTGTGTATGTGCCATACATACATACATACATAGTACTTGTTCAGGTTCAGATGTCTTAAAAGAAAAGCAAATATCTGTAGTGGCTCCACATCTTCAAAGCTTCGCTTCCAATCACTGCTTCTCATCAAATTATACTGCTCTGCTGCCTCCCAATAACAAAGGTCCATTTTCTTTAGTTTTAGGTATTTTTGCCTTGGGTTCAATTTGTTCTTTGGTTGGAGCTTTTTGGATACCTGACAGACAACCGAAAAACACAGTGAACTTATTATAAATGCATAGTGGCGGAAAGAAAACAAGGAAATGAGGAAAGAGACGATCTCCTTGAGGGATCCGAGGGAACACATGGTGTATACATTCTGTCTGAGTGAGCAGATGGCAGGAGGCACACAGGAGAAAGCCTCCTGAAACACGCAGGGCTACTTCAAAAGTAAAGGCTTCATCGAACGTCAGTGAAGAACACTCCATAAAGGATGTCTATCCTTCAAGAATTCATCTTTCTAATCCTCAAGGCTTAAAGTTATAAGTTATAGAAGAAAATCTCATTTAGCAAAATGGGGAATATAATGTCTATTAGTGCAATAATTGCCTACCTGGTTCCCCACACACAGAGAGGACTCCCTACGTGAAAAACATCCTAAGATGGTAGAGAGTTTTATGGCTAGTACTCACTCTCTTAAGTTAAGCGACGCTGTACTGCCAGGAAATCAAGTTATTGATTAGCATGGGGTCACTTGCAGTTTCACAGACCTGAGAGATCAGGGCTGAGGGCTATATACTGATCATCTAACCATTTTTCAGTCAAAGAAATGCCTAGCTCTATAGGTCCAAAGTATGTGTCCTTTCAAAGAGGTCAGCAGCGTGGCCTCATTCGCACACTGTGCCTCCGTGGCACCCTACTCAGAAAGAACATTGTGGGGAAATTCACCATCAATGGCAAAACAGTCGTTTGAATTCATGAAACTGCAAATACATGCGTGCTGACTTGTACCTTTAAATTTTCAGTCCAGTATTTTCCTACTTCCCTATTGAACTCCTCCTTCTAGCATCTCCTCATTTAGGTAAGACCTAGTGTGTAGCCCAGAGTGATCTTGAACTCATAATATAAACCAGGCTGAACTCAAGCTTGAAGCAATCCTCCTGCCTCTCCTTTCCCTCCCTCCCTCCCCACCCTCATCAGGAGTACTGAGCTTACAGGTGCTCACCACCACAAGGACTTGCTATGGGATCCTTCTGGAGGCAGGGGCTCAAGAGAGCAAAAGAAAACTCTTGTCTTCAGCAGAACCATCCTTACTACAGTAGCCTCAAGTCTACAAAATTATTTCCACATGCTTGCTAATTTGCATACAAAATATCCCCAAAGAACACTCATCAACTTCTTTGTCCTTGAACCAAATTGAGAAAGTTCCAAGAAGATCTGGAAGGTAGGAAGGAAAAGAAGCCAATGATCATAGCAAAACAATGGTGGGAAGAGTA